ACTAGAACAGAACTAGAACAGAACTAGAGCAGAACTAGAACAGAACTAGAACAGAACTAGAACAGAACTAGAACAGAACTAGAACAGAACTAGAACAGAACTAGAACAGAACTAGAACAGAACTAGAACAGAACTAGAACAGAACTAGAACAGAACTAGAACAGAACTAGAACAGAACTAGAACAGAACTAGAACAGAACTAGAACAGAACTAGAATAGAACTAGAACAGAACTAGAACAGAACTAGAACAGAACTAGAACAGAACTAGAACAGAACTAGAACAGAACTAGAACAGAACTAGAACAGAACTAGAACAGAACTAGAACAGAACTAGAACAGAACTAGAACAGAACTAGAACAGAACTAGAACAGAACTAGAACTAGAACAGAACAGAACTAGAACAGAACTAGAACAGAACTAGAACAGAACTAGAACAGAACTAGAACAGAACTAGAACAGAACTAGAACAGAACTAGAACAGAACTAGAACAGAACTAGAACAGAACTAGAACAGAACTAGAACAGAACTAGAACAGAACTAGAACAGAACTAGAACAGAACTAGAACAGAACTAGAACAGAACTAGAACAGAACTAGAACAGAACTAGAACAGAACTAGAACAGAACTAGAACAGAACTAGAACAGAACTAGAACAGAACTAGAACAGAACTAGAACAGAACTAGAACAGAACTAGAACAGAACTAGAACAGAACTAGAACAGAACTAGAACAGAACTAGAACAGAACTAGAACAGAACTAGAACAGAACTAGAACAGAACTAGAACAGAACTAGAACAGAACTAGAACAGAACTAGAACAGAACTAGAACAGAACTAGAACAGAACTAGAACAGAACTAGAACAGAACTAGAACAGAACTAGAACAGAACTAGAACAGAACTAGAACAGAACTAGAACAGAACTAGAACAGAACTAGAACAGAACTAGAACAGAACTAGAACAGAACTAGAACAGAACTAGAACAGAACTAGAACAGAACTAGAACAGAACTAGAACAGAACTAGAACAGAACTAGAACAGAACTAGAACAGAACTAGAACAGAACTAGAACAGAACTAGAACAGAACTAGAACAGAACTAGAACAGAACTAGAACAGAACTAGAACAGAACTAGAACAGAACTAGAACAGAACTAGAACAGAACTAGAACAGAACTAGAACAGAACTAGAACAACTAGAACAGAACTAGAACAGAACTAGAACAGAACTAGAACAGAACTAGACAGAACTAGAACAGAACTAGAACAGAACTAGAACAGAACTAGAACAGAACTAGAACAGAACTATAATTGAACTAGGATTAGAACAGGGCTATCGATTTAGGTGTAATCAACAATTTAAATTTTTTTCTCATAATTTTCTATATGTTTATAGTTGTGATTGTACCCAATTAAATTTGATATCCCTATTCGATTTACTTCTGCTACTGAAGTCATTTTAACTAAATGAAAACAAATTTACATCTATTGAAAGTTTCGAATGTTGATTTTGTTCTAGAAAGTTTTAGTCATTTATGTTCCCAGAATTTGATTTTTTTCTATCTTAAGCCATCCAAAACGAATTGATTTTTCATTTCTAATCGTTTTGATTGCTATTTGATGTTATCATTTTTCATCAATGATGTCCTTTTAAAAGGGTTTCTTCAGTTTCCGTTTATACCATTTCTTTACATTCTATTCTATAATTTTTATATTTGATTCCTTTCTCATTATTTTTTGTTATAAAGTAAACAAAGAATAAAATATTTAAATAAAAATAGCTTATTGTCTAGGTTCAAGCCAAGGACAAGTTTATTGAAACATTTGTCTATTTGTATGTTGACTTATTTAGGGTTAGTAAAAGTATAAATATGTTTGCTTAAGCTGGACCAATGTTATTTCCCTTAAGAGTCTTAATGTTACAGAAAATTTTTCTAAACATAAATTGTCATTTGTATGCAAAATAAATCATTTAAATGTTGTTCGTTATCGAAACAACATAACGTCGTTTTCTTTATTTATTTATAAAACTATCCTTTCCCTTTTGCCCAAATGTTTTCTACAGCAAGATATCAAATAAAACCACAAATCGAACTAGAAAAATTGTTGAGAAAAAGAACATCCTTAAACGGAAATTAAATGTGGTAATATGTGTTTGCATTTGTTCTATCTTTTACCAAATACTACGTTTACTCTTTGTAGGTTGTGGTTTTGTTATTTTAGTTTCATTCCTATTATTGATTCCTGTTACCACAATTTAGCAATGATGATTATTTTTTTAACATGAGCTTAGAACAAATAGAAAATGACATTGAGACCTTTGGCTAGAGTAACTACATGGGTAAATTAAATTTCAGATTTAAGTGAAAATGTTGACAATGCTAGAGATCAGCAAAATTGTGTTTCTTTTTTAAGGGGACATATTGTAATAAGATTATTTTCAATTAGTTTAATCACCTTTAACTTTCGCACAAGAAAAATATTTAATTAAATTACAATGCTTTCGTAGAAAGTTCAAGGGTGTGGTTAGAAAAGTTTTGAACAAGAAAATTTTATAAAATTATTAAGGAAAATAAATTTAAACTGCACAGTAACTACTGCAAAAGTTAATTCTTGACGGCTTTACTTAAATAATCACAAATCTAATTGACGGAACCGTAATCGATACTCTAACGGAATCAACTCTAGAGATATTGTCAAGTTACTTAAACAAGTACAGTCTAATAATCTCTAGTCGAAACAAATCTAGTCGAATTAATTTCAGTAGAATAAACTTTGGTCGATTAAACTCTAGTCGAATCAACACTAGTCGAATCAACGCTGGTCTAATCATCTCTAGTCGAATTAACTCTAGACCAAACAACTCTAGTCGAATCAACACTGGTCTAATCCTCTCTAGTCGACTTAACTCTAGTCGAATCAATTCTAGTCGAATTAACCTAGTCTAATTAACTCTAGTCGAATCTATTAAATTCAAATCAACTCTAGTCTCTCTAGTCGAATTAACTCTAGTCGAATCAACTCTTGTCGAAGCAACACTAGTCTAATCCTCTCTAGTCGAAGCAACTCTAGTCGAATCAATTCTAGTAGAATTAACCTAGTCCAATCAACTATAGTCGAAACAACACTAGTCAAATCAATTCTAGTCGAATTAACCTAGTCTAATCAACTCTAGTTGAATAAACTCTAGTCGAATCCACTCTAGTCGAATCAACTCTAGTCGAATCTATTCTACTCAAATCAACTCTAGTCCTTCTAGTGGAATTAATTCTAGTCGAAAAATCTAGTCAAATCAACTCTAGTCGAAACAACTCCAGTGGAATCAACTCTAGTTGAATTAACTGCAGTCGAGATAACTCTAGTCGAATCAATTCTAGTCGAAGTAACATAGTCTAATTAATTCTAGTCTAATACTGTCTAGTCGAATCAATTCTGGTCTAAAAAAATCTTGTCGAATCAACTCTAGTGGAAACAACTCCAGTGGAATAAACTCTAGTCGAAACAAAACTAGTCGAATCGGATCTAGTCGAAAAAATATAAGAGATATTCGAATAACATCTAGACGAATACTGGTCGACTACACTTTATTACAATCTACTCTGGCTCTACTGGTGTAAAACCAATTCCAACCGATTCAAAATATGTAGTCAACTCTTCTTAATACAATTCAATTTACGTTATTGAAGTATATATAACCCAACATCAAAATTGTAACACTTTGTAGAGTAAAAACATGAAACGTGTGAAAAAAAATCTTCATCACATTTCACACACACATGCCGATTATTTCTTTGTAATACAAAAATAAATCACTTCCAGTGAACTTATGCCTCAATCGCGAATTCCTTTTTACAAAAACACATGCCGCCAAACTTGTTTAACAAATACAGCAAATACAACAACCCACCAACAAACAAACAGTTCCCTATAGCAGAAAAAGCAGCTGGCATAACTTAAATTGTTTTTGATTTACTTAACTTCCGCTTGATAAATTACATTTGAAGTTTTATATACAGAAAATGTCTATCGATGTATGTGTAACTTTTCTTTGGCAAACATGACAGTTTACTCTAAAAGAAATTTTGCACAAATCAACAAACCAACATAAAACTACACATAAGTGTAATAAAGATAATGTTTGTATGTGTGTATGGATGTAATACAAGTAATTTGTAAATGTTGTTAGTCTAAGTATTAGTAAATTTGAACAGTTATGTATATCCAGCTGTGTGTGTTTGTGCGGTAAGCTACATTTGTGCTTAACGAGCTGCTAATGGTGGCAATCATGAATTTTTTAAAATCACAACAACAATTTCATGTTTTTCTTCTTACTTTAACAAGAATTTATAAAAATATATTTTTAATGTAGTCTTAGTTTATTTTTTATTTCTTTCTCGTTTGCTTACTTACACTTCAGTGTGCAAAGTCGTAAAATATAGAGTAAGTAATTTATTCATATTCCTGGTGTAAACTTGTAGGCAGAAAGAAGCATTAAAAAGAAATTTTCTTTTATTCCCATGTTTTGTAAGTTTTTACATAAATTTAATTAGGCAGAAAGTAGCAAGAAATAAACTTCTAAATTGCCTTCCCTTGTTTGCTAAAATTTATTTCATAAAAATCTACATATGAAACTGAAAAGTGGCAGTATTTTTGTAACATGTTTTCTTTTGAACATTTATTTATACTTTATTAAATATATATTTGATTACTAATTCAATCAATTTACACATCAATAAGTTTGTCATTATAGGTATTTTTTTATTTAATTTAATAAAGTAATTTCCTTTTCATGTTAGAAATAAATTCTAAGAAATGCAAATTTAATTTAATATTGAAGGAAAAAAGCAAGAGAAAGACTGTTGTCAGTTTAAAAGAAATTATTGCTGTACATACATATTCATATCTTGGGCTTGTGGTAAACCACAAACACATCACACATTTCAAAAAATTTTATGCACAAAAGTTAAAAAAAGAAAACAAATATAGTATTGTACTAACCTTGATTATTAACCTTGTCTTAATCCCAACAAGTTCAGCAACAATTCCTGAAATTAAAAAAAAAAATAAAGTTTTTATTAAAAAATAACATTTTATTTTAAATGTCATTCAACTGCAAGAGTAAGTACACAAAAAAGTTGTGGTTTGAATATTAACAAAAAGCAACAGAAACAACAAATTGGAATACAAAACTTTATCGTTATCAGCTTTTTAACTTTTTTCCATATTTTCCAAAAAATAAAATAAAAATGCATTGAAATAAACAAATATATTTTTTATGCATTTTCAGTTTTATTTTGTGTATTTATAAATGACCACAATAAAAGTAAATGCAAAACTTAACCACTAATTAAACTTGTCAAAAAGTTAAGCCACACAACAGAAACGTTTTAAAAACAACAAAAACAACAGGAACAGCAAAAACAATTCGATCTAGGAAATGGAATAAAACTGGCAAGGTACTGCATTACAACTAAATAAGACTGAACTAGAACTGAACTAGAACTAAACTAGAACTGAACTAGAACTGAACTAGAACTGAACTAGAACTGAACTAGAACTGAACTAGAGCTGAACTAGAGCTGAACTAGAACTGAACTAGAACTGAACTAGAACTGAACTAGAACTGAACTAGAACTGAACTAGGACTGAACTAGAACTGAACTAGAACTGAACTAGAACTGAACTAGAACTGAACTAGAACTGAACTAGAACTGAACTAGAACTGAACTAGAACTGAACTAGAACTGAACTAGAACTGAACTAGAACTGAACTAGAACTGAACTAGAACAGAACTAGAACTGAACTAGAACTGAACTAGAACTGAACTAGAACTGAACTAGAACTGAACTAGAACTGTACTAGAACTGAACTAGAACTGAACTAGAACTGAACTAGAACTGAATGACGAAAATGGAAACACTACAAAATATACTCTTATATGTATTTCAATGGGAAATATATATTTTATTTTTAAATAAAAACTATTCTACAATTTCAACTCAGCCATAGAAATGCATTTGTTATGAATTTTTATATTCATTTCAGAACAAAATTAAACTAAATAAAATTAAAAAAAGTTACAAATAAAAAGCTTTCTATACTGTTAAAGTTAAACATTGATAAGGATTTTTTTCACCCCTTCTTTTTGTCTGAAGTCTTTTGAACGCAAAATAATAGAGTTGGAAACACAAACTACTGACTGCAAGCCACAAATGTTCATAAATACATTTGTTGTGGCTGTGATGTTGACTGAATTGCTAAAGGGCATAAATGCAGTTAAGAAAAATTTCCCTCAAATATGAATAAAATATGAAAACAAGTTAATTGAAAACACGTACAAGAAATACTGTGAAATAACGATATGATGAAAGGGGAATATTTTACAAAAATAACAAATTTGAAGAAAATAAGTTTTGTGGAAATAGAAAAATGGCACTTATTCACTTTAACCACTTAGCCACACAAAATATGAATTTATTTCCTTATTTTTCATATAAACTACAAAACTATTGTATATTCAGTTAGTTAGTTATCTTTTATGAAATTAAAAACATAAAAATCTGCAAACAAAAAATAAAAATAAATGTATAGAAAAACTAACTTCTAAAGGTTGTATTTTAAATTAGACTCTGTGGCAAAACTACTATGTTTCAACTCCTTGTCAGTTGCCATATGAAAACTTTTTGTCATATTGTTTGTTCAAAGTCATATTTCATTTTGTTTTTTTAATTTTATTTGTTTGTTCTTTTGAAGTTGTTTTGTTCAATTTGTTTTTGTGCCTTTTTCCTGTTTTTATATGTATTAGTAGTAGAAAAAGGCAGTTTTTTCTTTTCATAAATGTTATTCAAATAAATGACAGTTGTATGGTCACGACAGCATCGTACAAATGTTTGTGACAATTGGAAGACATAAAGGCGACTGCAGTTAAGGGAAATATGAGGGGCTATATAGGCAAGACTTATGTATATATAGTCGATACAATAGATTAATCTATAGATAAGACTAAATATTGATTTATCACCGAGACTAATCGGGACTATAGACTGATCTATTGTTAAGACAATAGACTGATCTATAGTCAAGACTATAGACTAATCTACAGTGAAGACTATAGACTGATCTATAGTGAAAACTAAAGACTGATCAATAGTCAAGACTATAGACTGATATATTGTCAATACTATAGACTGATCTATAGTCAATATTATAGACTGATCTATAGTCAAGCCTATAGACTGATCTCTTGTCAAGACTATAGACTAATCTATAGTCAAAACTATAGACTGATCTATAGTCAAGACTATAGACTGATCTATATTCAATACTATAGACTGATCTATAGTCAAGACTATAGACTGATCTATATTCGAGGCTACAGACTGATCTATAGTCAAGACTATAGACTGATCTATAGTCAAGACAATAGTCTGATCTACAGTCAAGACTAAAAATATCTATAGCGAAGACTATATATAGTCAAGACTATAGACTGATCTATAATCCAGACTATACTGATCTATAGTCAAAACTATACTGATCAATAGTTAGGACTATAGACTGATATATAGTGAAGACTGTAGACTAATCTATAGTCAATACTATACTGATCAATAGTCAAGACTATACTGATCAATAGTCAAGACTATAGACTGATCTATAGTGAAGACCTTAGACGGATCTATAGTGGAGACTATAGACTTATCTATAGTCGACTATATACTAATGTATAGTCAAGACTATAGACTGATCTATAGTCCAGACTATAGACTGATCTATAGTCCAGACTATATACTGATCTATAGTCAAGGCTATAGACTGTTCTACAGTCGACACTATAGACTGAAATAGGCCATATTATAACAACCATTTCAATCAACAATAGATGTCACATCTCTGGTCCTTTAGCCTCCTCAAAGTTAATGCCCATCAAGCGACATACAAAAGAAGTTCAACATATTTTCTTTTAAACAAATGGAAAAATCATAGTTAGAGAAAAAAAATAAACATCAAAAACATTTGATTTGAAGTACATGATCTAAACATTAAAGTGGCAATGGTCATATAACAAGCAGTGGACAAAATAAAGAAAAATATTTGAGTTCCACTCCCAGTGAACATAAATCAAAATGGCAAACATTTAGTTTTACTACACTGTAACAAATCGTACATATTTAAAAAGTAAAATGTATGGCCAAACTGTCATAAACATTTGTCAGCAACATGGAACTGAAACGGCTAAGGACAAGCATACAGGGATGTACTAACAAGGTAGTAATTAATAAAAAGGAAGTGAAGCTCAGGGTCAAGGGTTTTTTAAACATTTAAAATTATATTGTGTTCTTATAGAAGTTTTAAATTTCTACGAAATTTTTCTTTTTAATTTAAAATTTTCTCAACTATAAATTTATCTTCTTTCAAATTTTGTGTTTAATTTTTTCCAGTTTTTCCTTCCCTTCATTTCTGCTAAAATTTCCAACAATTATGGTATAAATTCAATGCTCATTAATGAATAATTAAAAGCGAATGAAAAGTTTTATGCCTGTCCTCTGTAACAAGCAAAAAAGAAAAAAGAGAAAATCAAATCAAAGATTTTACTTCCGCACACTAAAAGTCCCACACAATTAAAATCCTTCAATAAATTTGCACAACGAGAAAAAAACTGAAATGAAATTTTATAGCGCCACAAAAATTTCTTCATTTAAATTCTTTTACTAGATAACGAGAGAGAAATGAACAGCAGCAAATAACAAAAATACCAAACAACAAAAATTCTTTAATCAATTCAAGATTCATCTTGGGTTAATTATCATGGGGAAAACTTTGCAACGCAAAAACAGGGTTAAACCCTTTTTTCTTATTAAACCACAGAAAAAAATTAAATAATATTAAAACAAAAAAATTAGATTTTCCAAGTAGAAGCAATAAAAACACAAATTTTTCACATTATGGTAAAATAAAATAAACATCAAAGTATGAAATTAAAACAACAAAAAATAATAATAATAAAAAAAAGAAATTTGTTAAATATTATAATATAAAATTTTGCATATTTTTGTTTCGAAAATATACTTTGTTAAAATAAAATTTACAACATTGTAATTTAAAAACTTTTCTACATACACGCGTTCTTACTCACACACAGAGATTGAAAATGTTTCAGAAGACAAAAAGTTTTATGCTCTTTTTTTCAGGTTGAAAAAAAGAAGCAAATTGTTGCTGATGAAAATATGTAAAGAAAAAAGGATTGCTCTCAAGGTATTTACAATTTTTATCTAACAATTTTGTTCTATATTTTTGTTGTATTACTTCGCTATTACTACCGCTAACTGGTAGCTTTAACAAAATGGCACAGTGTAACGTTTAAAAATAAAATTATTTAAATTATTATCAAACATTTTGTATTGTATTGTTTTTGTTTTAGAATATTTCATAAAATGAAAACTTCACTTTTAGTTTAAAAAAAATATTAACTCATTTTTACTAAATCACCTTACTGTATTTATTATTCTCACCTCCAACAACTTTATTACAAGAGTATGTTGAAAATATTTTTAAGCAACAGTAGTAGCAGAAAAAAAGTTAAATTGCTTTATAATGTTGTACATTAGAACTTTTGCATTTACATTTCTACATAGCTTTGGGATAATTTCTTTGCTCTTTTTTCTTTATTTAAAAAAAAAATATATTTTTTCTATGATTTTTGCACCCTACGTTAAAAGAGGATTGAAAGTTTCAATCTATACATATCCACAATCCCATGTTCTCTTAATCGTTAGTGACAAAATGATTTATATTGCAAATAATCAACTTTTTCTTAGAAAAAAAAGCTTTAGTAAAAAAGCTTTTCTAAACCTTTTAGTAAAAAAGCTTTTCGAAACTTTTTTGTTAAAAAGCTTTTCGAAACTTTTTAGTAAAAAAAGATTTTCGAGCTTTTTAGAAAAAAGGTTTTTTAAGCTTTTTAGAAAAAGCTTTTTTAAGCTTTTTAGAAAAAGCTTTTTTAAGCTTTTAGAAAAAAAGCTTTACGAAGCTTTTTATTAAAAAAGCTT